TTTGTAGGAATTGCTTGTATTTTTGTCTTCAATTCCTTAGACTATAAACTCCACAAGGGTGGGTGAGGGTAGGAACTGTGTCTCTCTGTTCACTATTGAATCTCAGTGCCTAGCTTGGTGTCTGCACTTAGGGCTCAATAAATATTTAATAAACAAATAAACAGATTGTGAAGAAACAAAATCAGTAATATTATGTTTAAGAAATTAAAAATTATCAACCTAATGGTGTGTAGGGGTTCATACACAGCCTTTTGGCCAACTGTGGCCTATCTGAGGTCTATGAAAAAGATTTTTATATTTTTATTTATTCATTATCCTGATATCAAGGCCTGAGCTGAGATCAAGAGTCAGACACTTAACCAACTGAGCCACCCAGGCTCCCCAGAAAAAACATTTTTTTAACCTAATTACCTGGATCTCCTACATGACAGGCCAAATGGAGCCTTACCATCTGTCCTTCATAGCACTGAAACTCACTGCCACCAGGTGTCATTCAGGTAGGTGTGGATTAATTAGTAATTATAATTGAAACTCCATGTAATTAATTACTTCATGCTCAAGTTTAATTCCACTGGCATTACATCATGGAACTAGGGGAACTACAAAAGATAACTGAAAGGAAAAAAAATAGATATGAAAAACATCCCAAGCAGACTTTTCCCCTGGGGCAGCTAAGAACTTGGAGAATTGGACCAACTACTGTATATCAACACACATTTGGATGAAATAATAAGGGTTGGGCAGAGTTGTCTGATTACAACTTTTAGTGGTGTTAAGTGGTATCAAGAAAGAATCTGTCAGCAGACATCAAAAGGATTCAGAGTTGGCCAATATGTCCACATAACACAGAGGCAAGAGCCCCAAATATGATGGCCTGAGTCATCTGGCTTCCCACTCCCACATAGATTTATGGCTTAGTGGCCCATGAATGAAAGAAGGGAGAAAGAAGGAAGAAGAGAGAGGGAGGAAAGGGAAGGAAAGGGGAGGGAAGGAGAGAGGGGGAGAGAGGAAGGGAGAGGAGGGGTGGAGAGGAAGGGGAGGGGAAGGGAAGGGAAAGGAAAGGGGGGAGGGAAGGGGAGGGCAGGGAAGGGGAGGGGAGGGAGGGGAGGAGAAGAGAAGAGTGAAAAGAAAAGAAAGAAAAGAAAAAAGAAAAGGGAGGTTATTACAGTAGTTTTAGTTCAGTGCATTTCGTGGTAATCTGTCCTATGGTTTTGCAGTCATACTAAAGATCCCCTCTATCAATATTGAGCACAGATTTAAAATTTGTTTAGACTAGCACTTAACTAAACCTGTTGACATTTACAGAGATTTAGAATGTGTATAATCTCAACTTGTCATGCTAATCACTTACTGCTGTTTATGATGTTTATCACCTGGCTCATCATAATGAAAAATGAACCCTTTGAGACTGATTAAATAAATTGCAATGTATCTCTACAGCAGAAATCTGTCCTGTCTCCCCATCTCCTGTAAAGATGCTATAGAACAGGGATGGGCATTTAGACATTTGGTAAAGTATAAATTCCAGAGTCAGAGGTTTAGAATCTGCAGATCCAAGCTAGGCCCTAGGAATCTGAATTTTAACAAATATTCCCAAGAAAGCTTTTTATGGCATAAGTTCATTGAACCATCATACAGAGATCAATACTTATTTATGTGAAAATGTGGAGATCATTAAATGAATAAAACATAGACTATATAATAGTGTGTATTACAAAATAATGTAATAGCATAATCTCATAAAAATCCCTAGCTGGACAGATAGATTAATACAGCTAAGTACAGAAAAAAGCTTGGAAGGATAGATACTAAGGTGTTAACAGGAAACTGACAACATGGTGTTTTTCAAAAAATATTTTTGCTCTGTGTATTATCTAGTTTTCCATAATGCATTTATACTGCTCTTATACTAATAAAATGATATGTTTTTTATCATAAAAGAAATAGTTTTCGAGTTCCTAATATGCATTGAGCATTAGAACTACCAAGATGAAGGCAGGCTCTCATTCTACCTTAAGGAATTCAGTCCCTAGTGGGAGATGACACAATTCCAGGTGGTTTAGGACACAGCCTTGAGTCCACCTGCTTGAAGGGCTATGAGAACACCAGCCCCAGCACCTGATCCTCCTGAGGCAGCACAGCTGTAGTGTGGGACAGTACAGAAGCCCCTTGATCTAGCCACAACAGAGCTGTGGAAGGCCAGGAAAAATATTGCCAGTACGGGGTGATGGAGAATGATTTGCCATTTTAATGACAGCTGGGCTTTTTTTTTTTCCCTCCTCTAGTAAAAGAACCACCACAACAATAAACAGAAAAAGCTTTAAAACAAAACCCAAACTAAAAACAACAAAAAACCTCCAACCCACAACATTAAAAACAAAGAAATAACATAAAAATAAGTGACATTTATAATTTCGGATTGGGACCTCTCTGGGGAAGAATGAAGAGATGACTGGTATATTGCTGTGTTTGCGTTCTTGCCTGCTCCCCCTTCTGGCCAGGCTGTTACTCAGCTCTGCCTGCACTCTGCCCAACTAAATCCTGCCTAATCTTCCAGCCTAACCAGTTCCCCGAGTCTAGGAGTCCAGATGTCTCCCCCTAACACTCCAGTCCTGTAGTATCAACAGCCTTTAAACACACAGTATTTCATCTGATACACACTTGCAAAATATTGTATGTTTGCTATGTATTATTTATCTCTTGGATTATTTTCATCATATGACAACTCCTTGACAAGAAAATCCTTCATTTCTTCAAGTAAACTGCCAAGTCATTAAGGGTAGGGATGATTTAGAAGATAATTCTAGGTACATAGACACAAATATTAGGCACTAAATATGTACTTTTAAATTGAATTATATTGAACAAAAATACTTTATTTAGATTTTTAAAAGCTTAACATTGCAAAAGAAAAACCTTCTGGTTAAACTATAATGTCTGTTTATGAATAAATGCCAGTATAATCTTTCTCACTACCCATTCTTTTATTTTTTCAGCACTTCTACTTTATCTCATGCATGCATGTTTTAGCTTAAATTAGGCAGGAGGCATACACAGATCAAATAGCCACATCCTGTGATTCTAAAAACAGGTTTGGAAATAATTCATTTCTTTAATATCTAGCACACGAGAATTACTGAACATTTTAACACATGGGACTGTTTCCTGGGAGAGAGAAAAGATGCAATCTTGAAAGAATAAGAATGTGCCTTCCTTAAAAAAACATAGCTAAGAAGAGCCTTAAAAATGCTTTTCTTAAATTCGGCATGGGAAAAAAAAGACAAGCTTCTGAAAAAACATTGATGAGAATGATAAATAGTAACAAATGTCTGACTCGCATCATAAAGCTATGTTGCATAACTTCCAATATATGTGTTCGAGACAAGGTAGTGCATTATGTAAAAAGCTGCATTTTACTTTTTAACAGCAGAGCCAAGGGAAAAGCAGAAGCACATTGTAACATCACTCTAGCACCCTCTGGTGCCCTATTCATGCACACCTTTTTGAGTTCATTATTTGCTGTTTCTGTAGCTATTTGCAAAGGAGCTCTTTGGGAAGCCACTAATGTGTCTGCAGGGGAATGTCTCATCTAAGAAAACCAAATAGGGGATCTTACAACCTGACTGTATGCTAATTATGCCCATACATAGGGTTTAGTTCTCTTTGGGGAGCCAAAGCTGGCATTGTACTTAGAAGAGTCATACAGGTGAGTAGAGTCTGTAGGGCCCCCAAAGGAAATCTTCATAATCCTATTCAGTGCTTGTTTTGTGGAAAATTTGCACAGGAAGTCACAGATCATTAGGTGATCTGATGAGAGCTGAATGTTTGGTGATACTTGCCATATTAAAACTGCTTTATTAAAAAGAAGTTGCATAAATGAGATGAGTGAAGATTTATCACCAAAAGAGATGTCAGACACTTTTTTTGTGTGTGGAGGAAATACAAATATGCTTCTTCAATACATACAGATTTAGAAATAACTTCAGAGTTTGGAGTCAACCTAACCTGAAGTGGTAAATTAGTAACTGCTACTCAATAAATACTCTAAAACTAAGGGTAAAGTATGTGAGTTATAATGAGACATAAGTACACAAACAAATCAATCTAATACAGTGAGTACAAACCTCTGAAATAAATATACACAAGTGCTAACAGGGTTTGTATTACAGTAGTGAAATTGTCATTTTTTTTCCTTCTATAATTACTCTTTTTTTTTTTTCATTTGGTCTGGTCATGATAGGAAATTACTTTTATAATGGAGGGAAAAGATTCACTTCAATTAATAAAAGTTCTTAAAGGAGAATGTGCTTGCTTAGGTCTTTCTGAAAATATATGTTAAGAAAATGAGGGCATAGGGAGGGGTATTTTGTCCTGTTTCCAAATTCTCCCTGTTGGTAACTATAAATCAAACTTTAATTTATGCTCACTTCACCTACTGCCTTTTGACTCTCTTCCTCACCTAATCCTAAATCCCAAGCGCTAGAAGTAGCTGTCCTCATTTCAGGCTACTGTCTGCCTGTCTTTTTCATTGTCACAGCTGAGTAATTGACAATTAATACATCCAGTTCATCTGCTTAGCAACAGGAGGGTGGGGCTCAAAACAGAAGGAAACTACACCAGTAGCATTCTGCAATTGTGAAATGAGAAAGGAAGAATGGGGAACTGGCTAAGGGCCAGAGAAAACTATTTTTAATATGAAATGAAACAATTTTCAGTACTTTCAATACTAAATCTCAAAATGATAAACAAGAAGTGTTTATATTCTTTTCATACAAAAACTCTATAATTACAGTCTTAAGAGAGCCATGTGATTAGAATGTCATAAATAGTGCTTTAATGACAAACAAATATGAAGTTCCTTACCCTTGGATCGCTAAATGGGTCAATGGGCTCTGCCTTGGAAATCTTAGGGAAAGGGTGTGGCTTAGCTGAGAGTCAGACTAACTTAGGTTCAGATAGGAGCTCTAGCCACACAGGTGAGAACATGTGCTGTGGTAAATTCTGAGTGAGAATGTTCCAGGATTCTGCCTGCTGTACTTTTCAGCTCATCCTGATCAGGAAAAAGGAGGGAAAAATGAGGAACTAATTGAGATATCCCTAGAGAAGTTCTTAGTATTCGAAGCTTTCCATTTTTGCAAACTACCTGACATTTATAGCCACAGTCTCCTCAAATGAATGAGAATCTAGAGGTCATGGTTATGTCATAAGGGTCTCGTCTCAGGAAGAGGTTCCAGCGAACTGAACTGGCCAAATGACTGTGAGTTTTTATTTTATTTATTATTATATATAATATTATTATTATTCTATTTTGTTGACGAGTCCTTAGGAATTTAGTTAGATCAGCTGAGACCACGCCAAGAAATAAAGCAGAAAATGTCACCAATTTTCCACTTAATAGATTGTCCTAAAGGTTAAATTTGTTCACTAATTTTTTTAAAATATGTTTTCTGAGCACCTGTTATATGTACTGTTCCAAGGACTCAAGTTTTTGTGGTGTAATGAGACTATCAAGGCCTTATTCGCTAAAGACTAAAGAACAAAAATTAATAAAGATGTCAGAGAGTAATGAATACATAGGAGAAAGCTGAAGCAGAGGGACATGACAGTGACTTTCTTTTAAAGATTTTATGTAGGGACACTTGGGTGGCTCAGTGGTTGAACATCTGCCTTTGGCTCATGGTGTGATCCTGGAATCCAGGGATCAAATCTCACATGCTTCTTCCTCTACCTATGTCTGAGCCTCTCTCTCTCTGTGTCATGAATAAATAAAATCTTTAAAAAAATAAAGATTTTATGTATTTATTTGAGAGAGAGAGGAAGTGCAAGTGGAGTGTAAGTGCAAGTGGAGGGAGGAACAGGAGGAGAGGGAGACAGAGAATCTGAAGCAGCTGTATGCTGAGCATGGAGCCTGACTTGGGGCTCAAACTCAGAACCCTGAGATCATGACCTGAGCCAAAATCAAGCACTGAGCCACCTGGGTGCAGCATGACAGTGACTACTTTAGACTGGTGTCATGGGTAGCATCTCTGAGGAGGTGAATTAGGCTGAGATATGAATGTAAAGAAGGATCCAGCTACTCTGAAATAAGGGATAAGAGCCTTCAGCCCAGAAAGAGCATCTGCAAAGGCTCTATCATAGCCCATATCAGGAACATTAGAGAAATTAAAAGTAAGCCAGTAAAGTTGGGGCATAAAAGAGCAAAGAGAGCTATAAAATGATGGAGAACTAGGCAGTGCCCAGATTGGGTGGGGGCTCAGTAAACCAGAGCACAGCCTGATTTCATGGCAGGTGAGATGGGTTGCCATTGGGAATTATAATAGGGGGAGGAAGGTGACATAAATATTATTCACGTTTTTATTTTTTAAAAAACTTATTTATATTGGAGACAGAGGGAAGAAGGGCAGAGGGAGAAGGACAGAAAAAATCACAAGCAGACTCCCTCTGAGTGTGAAGCCCAGTGCGGGGCTCAATCTCACAACTCTAAATTCATGACCTGAGCCAAAATCAAGATTTGGACACTTAACTGACTGAGCCACCCACGTGCCCCAATATTATTCTTGCCTATAAAAGATCACCATGGCTGCTAAAAGGAGACACAAATGGGAGTGGAGAGACATTTGGGAGACAGGCTTAAGAGGTTAGGGTCAGAGATAATGGTGGTCTGGAGAGGATGCCGATAATGAAAACGAGAAGGAGTGGATGATTGGGATCTGCTCTGGAGGCAAGGTTGACAGTATGGACTGAAGGTGAAGGTACGAAAATAATCAAAGACAAGCTCAAGAATATTTGTCTTGATGTTAGATGATCATGTTTGTTTTCTACTGAAATGGGAAAAGAGAGGGAGGAACAAGTATGTGATAGAAAACCAAACTTTATTTTCATCATACTGAGTCTGAAATGCCTCCCAAACTACCCAGGGAAGGCATGTAGAATATGAGTTAAATATTTTGGGGAGATGTGAATACTAGAGATATAGTTTGGTTATTACCAACATATGGGATTGAGGATGACCTCAGAGAGGGTAGATAATGAAGAACAAAGGGCTTGGAATCCAGGATCTTGGGACACTAACATCAGTGGTTGGGCAAAGGAGGAGGAGCCAGCAAAAAAGTATAAGCAGCCAGTGAAGTGCAAGAAAATCAGGAGAGTATGGTGTTCAGAGAACAAGTGAAAAAAAAAATGTGTCAGTCAATGTAGTTAGCTACTACCAGGTGTCTTAGTAAGATATGGATAGAAGGGTGACCGGGGGTTCATCACTAGGTTGAATGGAAGAGGATGTCTGCACAAAAACAGAGCAACTGAAATTAGAGTCAAACACAGTGAATATACCCCACAGTGCTTCATAAACTTCATACCTCTTCAAGTTATATGAAGCAGCTTTTCACTATTTGTAGCTCATATTTTATTTCTATAACCAAATCCCCTAAACATGCACCTAAATATTTCCAACCCTATAAACACATGTTGTAACATGTATACTGGAAACTGGCTTTAGCAATATCCATTACTTTTCTCATTCTTTCCTACTTTATCATGTCAGTCAAAATCAGGGGTATTCAATGCAGAAAAAGAGGTAAAATTAAAATCAATAAATGTCTGCCCTTAGTAGAAAACATTTTTCTGAAAATAAGCTTGAAATCATTGACTAAAATAAAGTTTAGTGATTATATCTAGGTTTCAATAGTTCAAATGATACATGGTCCCCATTTTACTGTAGAAAAACAGGGTCAACTTTGTGTAGACTTGCAAGTCAATTGCCCTAATGGCAAAGGGACTTGTGCATCATACCCCAAAATTGTTATTCTTTCTATTTTTACTTAGAGATTGTCTTTAGGTATTGGATCATCTCCACATTCAAAGCCAGGGAAATGTCCACTTGTAGAGCCATTGAATTGAGTTGCTGCTTGTAACTCACTTTCTGTCCTCTGAACACAAGGGGACATAGATGAAAGGAAGGGGATAAAAAGGTACAAAGTTCCATTTATAAAATAAATAAGCCCCGGGGAATGTCAGTACAGCATGGTGACTATGGTCAGCAATATTGTATTATATATTTGGGAGTTGCTAAGACAGTAAACCTGAAAAGTTCTCATTACAAGAAAACATTGTGTTTATGTGTGGTGGTGGATATTAACGAGGCTTATTGTGGCCATTATGTAACTATGAATCCTGTACACTTGAAACTAATATGAAGTTATATATCAATTATACCTCAAGTTTTAAAAAAAAGTATTTAGTCAAGGACAAAAAAAAGAAGACAAGCAGACTTTCCTACTCTGCTCTGAGATAGCTCAGTCATGACTTAACTGTTTTTGTGACAATTTAAATCTCTCCACTGCAGCTTATGTCCTCAGGGGCCTCATCTAGCTCTTGCAAACAGCAGCTAATGCGTCTATTCTCCATTTTTCAGAGGTGAGAAAGAGGAACCAAGATCTCTCTTTACCTTAATCGCTATTTGCACAGAGTTGCCAAATTTGAGCATGAACCTAAGAAAGAGATGAAAACTTGTTGGAGATGGAAAAATAAAAGTGATTTCATAGAGTTGTTCTTGTAGGAAATAATTTTTAAAATATGGGACACCTGGCTAAGACACTAATCAGGATATTTTCCAAAGTTTTTCTTTATTGCCAGGGTTAAGGAGTCATTTTTTAAATTCACATTTCTTTGGAAAGCTTACTCTAAAAGCAGCCTTTTATCCTATTTGAAAGTCACATCACTGAGTAAATGTGGAATAAAATCAAGAGTATCCTGCATTTCCTCTAATGACATTCTCTAGTACTAAAAATTCCACATAACTAGTATTTATAACATAGGACTTGAAGGAAGACAAAATCCCAACAAGAATCATAACATCTCCCGTTTACGTGGAGCTCGATGATTCACAAAGTATTTCCCACACACACACAAAGTATTTTCATTTGATACTCAAATTCACTTGGTGAGGTGACTGCCACCCCTACCACAGATGAGAAAACCAAGGCCCAGAGGCTGAAGAGGTCACATAATCATTAAGAGAGGATGCTTGGATTCTCAGACTTCCTCTGATTCTGACTCTGTTTTCTTCTACCATAGCTTAGGTCTGCTGCCTCAAGAAAATAAACTATGTAAAAAGATTCTTGATAGATTAATTTTATCCTGCTTGTTTGCAAAAATAGCAAACAGGAGCTAGAAGGCTCTCCAGCAGTTAACTGTGTGGTGCTGGGAAGGTCATTTCTCTCTGTACGTCAGTGTTCTCTCATCTGCAAAATGCAGGGCTTGGATTAAAGAGGCTTACAGCTCCACAGTTCTGAGATTCTGTATTAACCAGGACATACGGCTGACCAGAAGTGGACGTGACTACTATGCTAATACTACACATTTTATTTCTCCATGTATTTGGGGGCACAGCGATTCCAGTCTGCCTAATGCAGTCTAGTTCAGCTTTAAAGTGGAGGCTTGTTCAATTATTCATTTGAATGCTCTTTGGAAAATTATAGACCTCTTTGAGTTTATCCCGTGTTTCCCACCGGACTATCAGTGTCTGAAAGACATTACTTTCTCTGTTATTCCCTATTCAGTGATCAAGTATCAACTAAGTGTTTAATGTACATGTAAGAGCCAAGAGAATTAGAAAAGCAGAATTCAGATTTGGTTCATGAAGCATTTAAAAGAATAAGATGTAAAAAACAACCAAGATGAAACAGCTACAAATCAAAAAAAGCCGAATTGGTACAACAGATTATTAGGATTATATAGACATTTAGTTAAAGTGCACATTAATGAGCAAATGTTTGCTCTACTCACGCTTAGCACTGTGGGGAGGAAAAATGAAAAATAAAAAGGACTTTACTTGGCTACCTCTTCAGTTCTCCTAATTATGAAATTCTGTACATATGTGACTTTCCAACCATTTCATGGGAATGAGTTTCTAAAATAATACATGGAATTTCTTAAGGGCAAGGGTCATTTTTATATGTGTGTGAGTAATAAGTTGAAAGCAATGAATCTCATTTTTCTACATAACTTAGGGAAAATCATCTTCCTTTATTTGCAATGAATACCAAGGTGAAGTGAAATTTCTACAAAGAGCTGAGAACAATTTTGAGTGTGGAAAGGAGGATACTTTTGGACGTAAAAAGCCTAAAGATAGGGAGGGACAATTGTTAGGTGAGATTCAGGGAAAAGATACATTAGCTGAATGGGCTGTTTCTCTCTCTCTCTCTCTCTCTCTCTCTCTCTCTCTCTCTCTCTTTTTGGCGCTTCAATCCATTAAGCAAACATTTCTTTTTTTTTTTTTTAAGATTTTATTTATTTATTTGAAAGAGAGCACAAGTAGGGGGTGCAGCATAGGAAGAGGGAGAAGCAGTCTCCCCGCTGAGCAGGGAGCCTGACTCAGAGTCCGGTCCCAGGACTCCAGGGCCATGACTTGAGCCAAAGTCAGATGCTTAACTGACTGAGTTACCCAGGCACCCCTCAAGCAAACATTTCTGGAAGACTAACCATGAGTGGGAGGGATGAGGTGACAGATCAATTACTGCGGGCTCAGAATGGCATACCTTCTGCTCCCAGTTTCCTTTGGGAGGATGCCTTTGGCTGAGGTCCCTCATGGCTCCCAGACCCCCTCTGTGTGTGACCAACACACTGTAGGCACAGCCCATGAGATGGACGGAAGTCTTCATTGTGCAAAGCTAACTTGCCCAAAGAGGTTCTAGAGTAATGACTGTGGCTATTTGCACGAGATGGTACTAGCAACTTTTTCTAACAGATTACTCAATAATGCCTATTTTAGGAAATAAATTTTATCTACTTATGCCCCTGTAAAAAACAAATTTTCCCAATATGTAATCATCAAGTAAATATTTATAGCTCCATGCTTATAAGCAAAGCCTTTGAAGACCACCTCATTTGGATTTTGAGGCTTCTTTGCTCTATGAAAACAGGAAAAATGTCAAGAGAGAAGGAGTGGTAAAGAATTAAGTGATAGGGATGCCTGGGTGGCTCAGCAGTTGAGTGCCTGCCTTCGGCCCAGGGTGTGATCCTGGAGTTCTGGGATCGAGTCCCGCATCAGGCTCCCTGCATGGAGCCTGCTTCTCCCTCTGCTATGTCTCTGCTTTTCTCTCTGTGTCTCTCATGAATAAATAAAATCTTTAAAAAAATTAAGTGATAGATCTGTAGAAATCAAACTTCTTTAAAAATAGGCATAATAATAATTACATATTAGCCAGAACTGTTTTGGGTCTGGATCTAGTTTAAAGTTAAAGGGTCTGTAGTCAGGTATGGAGTATGTGTGTGTGGGGGGAGGGACAGAGCTAAATAAATCAATGGGCACGATGACTAAATACCCAGGCTTTGAGAGGCGACAATCCTGGGCTGCTCCAGGAGCCCCAGTCACTGGCACTAGACACTCAGATGTTGCACATTGACTTCATTCTCTCCAGCATAGATAGGCTTTGTCATGTGGTGAAGAACCTATAGCTCTGGGAGCACAAGCCAACAGAGGAAAAAAAAATCTCCTTCCCCAGCTTAAGTTCACAAATTCCCCAGGAAGGCCTTGGTTTGATATGATTTGATCCATAAACTTTTCCCTGAATCAATGACTGTGGCTTGGAAGGAATATAATGTGATTGGCTTAGCTTAAGATCCCTATCTCTCTCTCTCTCTCTCTATCTGCCCATGGCCTGATGAAGACTATCTTGGAAGAATAGTGGGTGAGCAGAGATAAAACAGGAAATAGGAAGTAGCTATGTGAGCTATCATTTATGAAGATTCTATTAGGGCCCAGGTGCTTACATGTATTATTCTGATGAATAATTCTAGCAACCATGTTGTACAGGTAGTTTGATACTTATTTCATAGATCACAGAAGTGTTAACTAGCTTTCCCAGGGTCATACAACTAGATAAAGGTACAGTGAAATTTGGATCCAGATAGATCTGATTCCAAAGCCCAAGTTTATCCTGCTAGGACATTCTGCCAGAAGGCAGGAAGGCAGGAAGGATGGAAGGAAGGAAGGGAGAGAGGGAGGGAAAAAAAAAACTGTGTTACTTTATCTAGATTCAGCAAGGATGGAAAATACATGGCATATATATTTTTATTACCAAATTCTGTGTCAGGCAGGCATTATTAATTGATCACAGACCTGAAATTCTCCTCAAGGTACTTCAAACACTGTCAGACAGGCACATGAGTTAAAACCAGTCTATAATACCTACAGCTTAAATAGTTTGCTTCATATCTTTGAGATTCTGAGCAGATTTGCCTTCTTTAACTACTAACCAAATCCCAGTCATCTTCCTGTAATTTTTTAGCATTATAGCTCCTGATGGTGGAGGCTGAAACAAAGGAAATATTAATGCTTTTTTACCAAAATGTGTAAGGCAATGGCAATACTTTACTTTGAAAAGCATATTACTATGGGCCTTTGATACTGCTTGCTGAGATTTAGAATTTAACTTGGAGGCACCTGGGTGGCTCAGTGGTTGAGTGTCTGCCTTTGGCTCGGGTCGTGATCCTGGGGGCCTGGGATCGAGTGCTGCACCAGGCTCCCTACAGGGAGCTTGCTTCTCCCTCTGCCTATGTTTCCAGGTTTCTCATTAATAAATAAATAAAATCTTAAAATAAAAGAATTTAACTTATGTGCCTAATTAAAGGAGTTATGGAATTTTAAAAGAGACTTGGTATAAAAATTAGGCCAAGGATTTACCACAAGGGTGAAGTTCTGCTTGATTTCTCTATTCATTGAGCCAGGAGTTACTTATTTGAGGAAGACTAGACTCACATATGGCTAAGGCATAAAGACAATGATGGAGTTAAAGAACAGAAGGGGATGAAAATAATGTCCTACAAGGCAAGGCACTCTTTCAAGGTTTGAGGGAAACAGAAAGTGAAAAAAGTGAAGACCTGTCAATTATATTTGAGTGCAAAGCCTGAAAAAGAACACCCTGAGGCCACTAAGCCAATCCAGAATATTAAGATTTTAAAATATCACTGGTAACAAGATTAGCATTATTTTCTTTATACGGACTCAAGTCTAATGGATATGTTTATTTAACAATAAATATAAATTCTGGCCCCATGCGACCAGGGTTTTAAAATAAATCAGGACAAACTAAGGAAATGAACAAAAATAAATGTAATAAAATCTGCCTCTTATTTATTTACTTTTTTTTTTTTTGGTCTACTTGATTTTTATGGAAATCTGTTTTGCTGCCAGAATCATGTTTCTGTTCGATACAGGTCAATTATTTATATTCTCACAGAGTTGTAATGTGGAGTGCCAGAGATAGATGGGAAATAAATACGAGAATGATAATTTCTAGAAGTCAAAGGGAATTCATATTTTTCTGAGAAGTCTTTACAAAACTACTGTATTGACACCATGTAGGTTAACAAATATATGTTCCTCTTTATGATTTTTAATATTTTATTTATTTCTTTGAAAGAGAGAGAGAGAGATGGAGAGAGAGCATGAGTGGGTAGGGAAGGACAGAGGGAGGGAAGAAGCAGACTCTCTGCTGGGCAGGGAGCCTGTCTTGGGGGCTCCATCCTAGGACCCAGAGATCATGACCTGAGCCCAAGGCAGATGCTTAACTAACTGAGCCACCCAGGTGCCCCTTCCTTATGATTTTTATCATGAATCACTTCCTCTAAATAATACAATGCATACTTTCTAGAAGCATTTAAACCTCATTTATTTAATAAGCACAATCTTTGCTAACATAAAAAATTCAGACTCAGCAGGACATACTTTTGGTGCTCCATCCTGTTTCTCCTTTTCCTTTCAATATTGCCCACACCTGCCTATGCTTCTCTCTCCAGGCTGCTGGCTGCCAACTGTGCCTCTTCATTTTATCACTATACCCTCACCTACAGCTCTTTAGGTGAAATGCAGCCACTCCACTGGTAACATAATTTGGGAAGAGAATGGCATAATTGCAAGACTCAGCATCCAGATATGGAAAGAGAAAGGAAGAGAAGATGTGATTACAAAAGAGAACAAGAAAAAAAAAAAGAGAGAACAAGAGATGGCAGCGTAAGAAGGACTCAGGTTGGCTTTGAAGTCCAAGTAAAGAGCCAGAAGCCAAGGAAAGCTGTCAGCATCTAGGAGGTAGAAGAGGCGAGAAAACAGATTCTCCCCTAGAGTGTCCAGAAAGGAATTATATCCTTGAGCTTAGCTAAATGAGATCCATGTCAGACTTCTGATCTACAGAACTGTACAAAAATAAATTTGTGTTGTTTTAAGCCACAAAGTTTGTGTGGTTTTTTATTTTAGCAGCAGTAGGAAAAAAATATATCCCTTCTCTGAGATGAATCCCTTTGTGGGCCACAAGTCCCGTGTCTGGTTATTATAAATTAAAAATACAATCAAAGCTAACCATAACTTGTTTATTACAGAATTTCATTAAGTCTGAGGCTCTCTTAAACAAAAAGGTAAACCCCAAAGTCAGGGTCGCAGAGAATCTTTATTATATTAAATTAATTCTCTTTAGTTAATAATGATTTCTTATTCCTTTTGTTAAAGGCCTCTAAGGAACTTACTATTATTGTCCATCTAAATTTATTTCCCATCATTCATTTCACTGCCTCTTTGGTTCAGTCCCTCTGATCAGTCTGGTCGCCGTCCTGTCTGCTTCCCTGCATGGTTATTCATGGGTCCCTATGTCTGGGGCACTTCCCTCCTCATGTCTGTTAACTAATGTGCCAGTCCAGAATATTAAGAATTTAAAATGCCACTAGAACTGATATTTGCATTATTTTTCCCATTCCTCATTATTTGCTTCATTTACAGTTTAAGCCAGCACCCTCATGGCCTTCAGCATCCTCCTACAGGAAGTGGTGTAACCCAACATCCTGAGCACAGACATGCTATAACATGTGCAGGTAATGGAATGAGAAGAGGAGAGGCTGTACTGTGTTATGTGGCAGCATCCCCTTTTCAGAAGGTAGGCCAGAACCCAGAACCCCCTTTCCCTCTTGTCATACTGCCATCTGAGCTCCCAAAGTCATCTGAGTTTATAATTGGCTGCATCCAAGTCATCTAGCTGGGGCTGCAAACTCCCTGGGGAAAGGAAGGAAATTTCATTTTTCTTGGACCCAAGTTTCTGTGTGGTACCAATTACAGTACCTTCCATAATCTTTTTTTTTCATAATCTTAATAAATTCCATCATTTGGTTCCAACATCTATAAACTGGGTGTTATCTTTGTATCTCAGTGGCAAGCTGTTTTCTGTTTCAAGGTAACAGAGGCAGGCTGCCTGGCTTGGAATCCCAGTTGCACTACTTGCTACTTGTGTGAGTGTGGGCAAGCTACTGAACCCCTCCCAGGCTTGTGTTTCTTCACTGACAACAACAGGACCTAACTCAGGGGTTTTCCAAAGATTAAATGAATTCATATATGGAAAGCCCTCTTAACTGTTTGCTTTATCATTCAAGTTTTCTTAAAGATCTTTCCTTCAGAGCATTCAGCACTCTATCTCGGTGGGGAGCAGTAGAGGGCAGAGAGAAGGCTTCAGTGTCTCACTGCCATGTTCTGTGGAAACTTCACCACTCACTAGCTGTTTGCCCTTGGGCAAATTACTGAATCATTCTGGACTCATTGTCTATAAAATAATAGGAGCACCTTCAGAAAGTAATTCTGAGGATTAAATAATGTAAGTCATGTAAAGGGCCAATGGTAGTGTCTGGCACATTAGTAAAGAATAAATATGAATTTTAGCATGTGGCATGACACGAGTTGTTTTCTCGCTGCCCACTGAGAAAGGAGGCCATGAGCAGCTTGGTTCTCCCCACTGCTCATGTGGTTGGGCAGAGGTGGTGAGCGGTCAGTTGTGGAGTTCTGGCCTGGCACACATACTTCTGGCTTCCAGTGGGAGGAGAACGTGAGCCCCTACGGCCTCCAAGAAGCTGCAGACGGCATCTGTGCTAAGTATCATGAAGCAATTCCCAATCTTTCAGCTTTCAAGTTTAGCAGGTACCCTCACCCTTAAGCCCTTGACTTCACACCCCAGGATACAAAGCTTCGGCAGTGAGCCTTCCATCTGCCTCAACACAGGAACTCTGCCTCAGTAACTGACTTCCAACCTCCTCTCCTTCAGGCACAGTCAGCACATGGTACTGTCACCCATCAACTTCCCGAGGACCTTCTCTGCAGCAGGGATGCCACTGCTGACTCTGCCCCAAGTCCTGGGCAGCCATCTCCCATGAACTTTCTCCCTGTGGCTTTCTGCACCCTGTTGCTACCACAAGCCACCAAGGAAGCCAGAGAAACACTGCTGTACTTTAAAGGATGTGCTAATATGCGGGTTCATGTCACTGTGCTGGTACAGGGTTGACAACCAATTTATATGCTAAATACAAGGCAAAGACACACTGTAACACCCAGAGGAAATGAGCTGACTGGAATGTGGTGTGCCTGGAGTTTATGGTGGCACCCATCGAGCAGAGAGCTTTCAGTTACCCTGGCTAATAGAGCAAATGCTACAGAATAATGATAAAGATGCTCTGGACCACACACTAAAATATTTACAGGATGTTAAGGGAAGTCCCTCTTTCTGAGTATACTACTTGAATACACTCATCCTTCACATATAAAATGCAGTAAACTATACAATTCTGTACAGGAACAAACTGGCCTTGCATAACCACCTCCACTTGCAACATTTTCCATTCCTTCCACTGACTGACTTTAGTCTAGGATGTTGGTCCAAGCTCCAGAACTTCACGGTGATAAGCTGAGGGGTGGCCCCTCAGAGATTCCCACATCCTGATCCCAGGAACCTGTGGATATGTTATGTTGCTTGGCAAAATAGACTTTGCAGATGGGATTAAGTCAAAATTCTTGCGACAGGGAGAATATCTTGAATCGTCTGGGTGGGCCATATAATCACAAGAGTCCTTATAAGAAGGAGACAGGAAGGTTAGAGTAGGAGGGAGATGTGACCATGGAAGTAGAGGTCAGAGTGTCCAGGACTGTCAGCCAAGAAATGCAGTCTCTTGCAGCTGGAAAAGGCAAAGAAAGGATTTTATCCTAGATTCTCCAGAAGGAATGCAGCCATGCAGACCCATTTTAGAGCTGTGTTGCTATAAGCCAGTGAATTTGTGGTGATTTGTTTTATCAGCCTCAGGAAGCTGATACATCAGAGTAGGGTATGCAGGGCATTCTGTACTGTCTGTACTAGCAAGCTGTAAATGGGCATAGACATCAAAATAGCAATACAATTCTTACCAGCTCCTAATCATATGAATTACACAGAAAATGAATAAAAGTAACAACAGCCAAGTAGAGATTTAAACTCTCTTATATTAGTTTTTGGGATATTTTTAAAAAGTAATTTCTGATCTTAGGCTCCAATGGGTTAAATAAAGTCTATAATTTTTCTGCTCGTTATGAGTTTTTTTCTACTTTATGTTTCTTTATTTATACCATTCTCCTTCAATTCACAAGGTCAAAGCTTGTGGTCTAAACTGATCTCTTTTTCTTGTTTCAGAGACTTGCACAGTCAGGAGAAAGCTCTGCTGCGGTTTTTAGCTCCCAGAAATCCCACGGGGCCACTTAGTTATGCAGCTATGAAGTCTGCTTTATTCTGAGGGTGGAGTCCTGTTTTGAGGGTGGGAAAAAAGTTCTTACTCCCAGAGCTATTGAGTGAGCCCAGCCAGCCCTGCCTCCTCCTGTGGCAGGAGCAATGTTCTTGCCACAACTGTCAGAGACCCAGAGTGAAGCTTCTACAGCCCGTAGGGGTCTGAGGTCAAGGACCAGGGGCTGTTGGGAGGCCTCGTCCAGTTAACAGTGTCATTTCAGATGTGTGCACTCGGATTGAAAAAGACTTTCTGAATGAAAGGTCTTGGGCTCTCTTCACAGTAAGCCTGTCACTTGTAATTCTAAAAGGCTGGTTATCTTCTGATTTTCTTTCCATTGAAATTACATGAAGGCACTTTCTCTTCAAGCTTGGCACTGAACCCCCTTTAAACTTTTACTTGAGTAAGCACAAAACATCCTCCCTAACTTGAACATCCCTTCATCCAGCCCGTTTTTTAAGCACTAAATCTTTGAGAATATATTTCTGATGGCTCCAGCTCAGAGACGTCTCCCCCACTCACCCCTGAACATTCCTGATCCTTATTAGCCTTCTATTAAAATTCCAACTTAAAATAAGGTCACAATCTAACTCTGTAGGTGAGTCTGGTATTTTGAACTCAGAACACTTTTCCCCACAGATATGATGATAACAAACAACCAGGGCTGCTACAGAGAGCCATGCAGGCTGTAGACTATGTGGCAACAGGACTTTAGCAAGGCCTGTTGCTAACATTTATGAAGCACATACCATGTGCAGACACTGCTATGCATATCATGAGGATTAATTCATTCCTTTATTCCCCACAAAATCTTATTATTTGCATTTTACAGACAGGAACACTGGGTTTTTGAGATGTAAACTGTGCAAAGTTATAGTCAGTAAGCTGGGATTCAATTGAAACCAGACCTGTTTAAATTATTATATTAGGTATTTGCAACAAAACCAGCAAAACACTAGGAAGTAATGCTGTTGCAAATAAAGCATAAATAATAAAATTGGAATAAGAAGTTGTATTGATTGGGTTACACATTTTGCTGGAGTTCAAGTAGAACAGTTGCTATAGATGAGGTGTCCCCTCATTCCCACTAATAGAAAGGCTTTGTCTCCAAATACTGAAAGATTTACTAGGGTTCTAATCTGTATGTCTGCTCTAGAACAATTAAAATTGAGAATGAGTGGGGAAAATACAGTATACTCTATATGAATTTCTCAAACAAGTCATAAAAAATCCTATTTCCGAAACCCCACTTACAGAGGCATATATCATTACTTAAACTCAATCCTACCACCCCATGAATTATTGACCCTTTAAGTAATTGCAGTAAATATACCAAGAATGATAAAGGTGGAAAAAAAAAAGGATGATAAAGGTGGGAACCAAACATAAAACCATATCATAGTAGTATAATTTCATATGGTAGGAAGCTTCATCTGTATAGTAAAAAGGTACATAAACTATAGGGGCTAACTGATTGATTAGATACGGTGCTTGTGTCCATTATTTGAAAAATATTGGGTATTAAGACCTTGGATAAAAATGCAAATTCTTGTTCTATTGTTGTTCCTGGGAAAACCACATTTAACATACCTCATTTTAATGTTTTTCCTACAAACATAATTTGTTATAGCTTTGTGTGCCCCTGGAAGTGAACTTTTGATGACGTAAATACCGAGAAAACATGGTATCTCTTGACTTCAATAACTTTTGGAGATGTTTTCATTTGCCACTCACTTTTATAAGTACATTCTGATGTCTGTTGTAACTGTAAACTCCACTTCTTTGTGATTTTTTTTTTATTTTTTTTTTTTATTTATGATAGTCACACAGAATGAGAGAGAGAGGCAGAGACACAGGCAGAGGGAGAAGCAGGCTCCATGCACCGGGAGCCCGACGTGGGATTCGATCCTGGGTCTCCAGGATCGCGCCCTGGGCCAAAGGCAGGCGCCAAACCGCTGCGCCACCCAGGGATCCCTTCTTTGTGATTTTTAAATCCATATGTCTTTCTCCTCCATTCTGACCCAGCTAGGAAATTATGAGTTTGTCAGGTTTCTCAAGGATGTATTTGTTTCATATTCTGTCCAATTATTTACTAAATATTAAGAGTCTTCTATGTAATGAGCACTATGCTGGAATCAATATCCCTTGCCCTCACTTACAGTAGATGCCAAAGAGAAAGCTTATTAAACATATGGATATTTCTTTTTTTATGGATATTTCTTAACATGAAAAATCTAACAAAAATTAGAAAGATTTGGATAGGCAAATATTGTGCAAAATAACACCCATTCATGAAAATAAGTAGAAATGGGGATTTTGATAATGGGGGAGGCTAAGCAAGTGTGAGGGTAGGGGTATATGGAAATCTGTGAGCCTTCTCAATTTTGCTGTGAACCTAAAACTACTCCAAAAAAAAAGTCTCTTGTGTTGAGCACCAGATGTTGTATATAAGTGATGAATCACTAAATTCTTCACCTGAAACTAATATCATACTGGTTGTTAACTAGCATTGAAATAAAACTTGAAAAAAATAGTCTTAATAAAAATTTAAGTGGAAATGTTTCCAACTATTTTGCTTAATACAACATTCTCTCTCCAAGGGCAAAGTGCAAATGTCCTATAATACCATAATAAGGCACTGATGATGTTTTAGAATATATTTGCTGTAATGACAGACTATGGGCAAAATGTTCTATGGTATTTAATGGTGGTATTATTAATCTCCTTCACTGGATCCTTGATTTGCTTAAGCTTAATTTGTTCTTTAAAATGTCACTAACTGGGATACCAGATCATGCAGACTGCAAAAGCTCCTTACTATAGCTCATTTCCTGTGCCCTGCGGGGGCTGCACGGGTTCATGTGTTCCTGTTCTGTGATTTGCAGCAATCTTACTGATCGGCAGCACTCCTGGGCCCATCTGATAAATACAGAGGGTGTCTGATTGTGATGTTCTGACATCTCTCTGAGAATGTTATTTTTCTCATGAGAAATCATCTCCAATATAATTTTCATGATTACAAAGTGAAAGTCCTTCAGTACAAACCCACTGCTCAGCAGGAACCGAGGGGTACTATTCCATCCCAAAGATAATGTACACATGCTTATTAAGACTATTAACATTATAATTGTAATCTCTGTTTCTTTTCTGAGCTGGCTACACTCTCTCCAGGAACTATCAGTTCTTTTATGTGAGGCACTCAAGAGGATAATTGGTTATCCTGTCAAGACAGCCGATTAATGACATTATGTGGTTCCTGCCTCGACATGGTTTTGTGTTCTTTGCTTGTACTCATAGTAAAAAAAAAAAAAAAGAAGAAAAGAAAATTTTTTTTATTATAAAAGAAAAGCATTATAGAGGATGAATTCCTCTATATTATTTTTTCTGGCAATCACGGACTTAATATTATAGATAATGTTTTACATAATAAAAATAGTAGAAACGATAAAGGCATTTTTCTCCTTAGGCAATGAACAGTAGTAAGTGATATGGGTAATTTTGAATTGCACTAATCTGAAAAGAGCAGTAAACACATTTTAAACTATTTCATTCAACACTGCAAACAAGGTAGTATATAAAAAAAATCTAAGCAGAAATTCTTGCTTATATAGTGTCTCTCAAGAGCTAAATGACTGATACATCCTAAGAATGATCTCATAATTGATACTGAAAAGTAGGAAGTAACAGCCTTGGTTTTTTAACCTTCACAGAAAGTTTCACGTAAATAAAGGAAGAAAGAAAAAGAAAAGACAAGTTCAGAATCCTGACATATAGAATAAGGTAAAGCTGCAGTAACCTAATATTACGGTATCAGTTTCAGATTAAGATTTAGAAACGAGGTGCAATGTTGCCATGGTGAATTCTTTAAGATAATGCACAAGAAGAGCCAGGCTGCTGAATAATTGATGTGTGCCTAAGTTTAGAAAAGCTAATTTACAGGCTGTTCCTCTGTGACAGGGACTGTGAAGTCTCCCAACGAGCCAGTGATGGGCCTGACAACATACAAGCCAACGTTCCATGTTCCCTACTCATCACAGAGAAGCATGTTACAAGAGGTGGAAGAAGTAGGTAGATTTTATGTTAATTAATGTGGCTTACGTGATACTGTTAATTAGGCAATAAAAAGGCAATAAAAAAGTAGTGTTCTGTGTTCAGAGCAGTTCTGTGTATCTCATGTATACTCCCAGCTGCTTTGGAAGCCACGTTACATATGCAGAAATGGTGTGTCACAGAGGTTAGTGGCTGAGCACAGGACTCACCCCTGTTGCCTCACCCAACTGTATAGAATCAGCCCCTCTTACACTGACTGACTTTGGAGATGTTTTCATCTCAACTCCTAGCTTTAGATCAACAAGCAGTACTTTTGATGCATTAAAAACATAAAGCCTGTACCTCCTCCCACCCCCAGCTAAGTAGAGTTTTGTTTTATTCCATGAGCAAAGGTATGGAAAGTGTCTTTAAGAATGTAGTGCTTTCCTTTGATATTTTGAGCGGATCAGGAGACCTGACAAGAAATCCAGGTCAAAAGGAGATTTGTCTTCACCTGCTTCTACCTGTTGAACTGCTCTGGTTTCTTACACTATCATCCTGGGGCTAGAAATATGTTGAGTAACCAAAGATGAGCAGATGCAGAATTAACAATGCTCATCCCCACCCAAAGTCCTACCATGATCACAATGCATTACGGAGCTATACAGTTTTTATATGAAGTACCAATTAATATTTATGTACAAAAGAAAGGTCTGGAAACCTGCACAGTTGTGCTTCTTTGCATTT